ATTTTTGTGAAAAATAATTTTCTACACGCGCGTGTTCCATTTAATTTTGTTTCTATCTCACAAGAGTACCACATGAAGGGTGAAAATAGCGAAATGTTTGATTGTTCCCTCGTTTAAGTCGTCCCCTGTTTGAATGTTCCCTCGTTTAAGTGTTTTCCCTTGTTTGAATGTTCGCTTGTTTAAACGGTTACTGCTTTAAATGGTGGCTTCTTTAAATGTTCCCTTTAAATATTCACATGTTTACCTGTTCGCCTATATATACCTCTGCCTTCACCTGCGCCTTCATCTTTATCTTCCCATTTAACTTTGTTTCTTTTTTTTCCTTTCTTTCCTGCTTGTTCTTTCCCCCGCTCATTCCCCACACATCCTCCTGGGGAGAATGCCAGCGCTGTAAAATTTTTATGCCCCTGAGCAGTTTCACCCCTTTGACTTTCTTTTCTTTTTTTTACCACTTTGCACAATTCACGTGAAGTGGCGAAACGGAAGAGGCTCACAAGAGAGGAACAGCACGGTATGCGCAAATTTCCCTCCCACCCTTCGCAGCGCTGTCTTCTCACCCTCATTCTGTAGACAACAGCGCGTAACTTTGGAGAGTACTTCCATACACATATCTATGTACGTAAATAAGAAAGTCCCTCGCTCTGACAGAGCGGTTACTACTTCACCGAGTGATGCAAACTATCTGACGTAATGCAAATTGTCTGAGGTGGCTCCCCCCAACGTTGCACACCCGGGTATAGACACAATAACGGGGTTGTTTCCCCCCCCCCTGCCAACTCTCTGCGCGTCATCCTCTCTTCTCCTCATCGCAAAGACACAAGAAAAATATGAAACATTTTGACCAAAACCAAGTGCAGTATGTAAGGAAGCAAAAGAAAATCAGAAAATGCCACAGCGTGTGGCAAAAAATAATTAGAAAAAGCCTTGGCTGCACAAAAGAAGAAATAAAAAAAAGCATCGCAAATAGTAAGAGGGAAAAAGAAAGAGTAATCTCCGTTCTGTATGGAAGCGTCTTCAGAGGGAACAAATACCTCCTGTACACAAAAAAATGGAGAGGAAACACATTAAATGAAATAATCAATCAAGACAGAAAAAACTACATGAACTTGAAAAATTTAAAAACTGTAGACAGTAGCTATTTCTGCAAATTAGCCTTTGGTTATGTGGACCAGAATGATAGGAATAATTTTAAGAAAACAACACAAGCGGGGCAACTGAAAGATTCTGACCCTAAGGGGGACACTAGCGCTTACGGAGGTGATTACGGGAATGCAAACCGAAACGGTGACGGGAATGCAAACGGAGACGATAACGGGAATGCTGCCGTAAACACTGACCAAAACACTGAGGTAAACGCCGACGTCGTCCGTGTCCGTGCAATCACCCAGCAGAGTGGCCCCCCCGGAGGATACCACAGCAACCGACCCACCACCCACACCAACGCCAAGAAAACGCAACCCAACCATAGTAATATCATCACTAGAAAAAAAACACACCAATTGGAAAAAAACACACCAATGAACGAAAAAGATGAAGTGTACGAAACATTAAACTATTTAGAAAAAAGAAGTTATCGGAATAGATCAAGGGGAGACAACGAAAACTGTCTCAACGGTGGTACCAATAGCAGCACCTACTATTACTATAGTAACAACTTCGGAAGTGGAAGCGCTAATTTTAACTGCGCCGGTAAATATTACACTGTCAGCAGCAACGACAGCAGCGCCAGAAATGCCAACAACAGAAGTGCAGCCACCCAAAGCAACCCAAACGATGCAGCATACTGCGAACCCCAGTCCGACGAAAATACTATGATTAAATACAAGTATTTACCCACGGGTGTATTCTACAGTAGAGTCTCCCGATCCTTTATTGCCAACTGGATTGATGAGAAAACGAAGAAGCAAATTAAAATGCCATACAAGATAGCCGAATTCGGGATCGAAAAATGTATGATCTTAGCCATCCTTTCTAGGAACCTTCGTATTAGTAATCTCAACAACGCCTTGAAATGCTACGACAAGTTAACCCCCGACCAGAAGGAGAAGATGCTCCAAGTCATTAGAACGACGCAGAAGAGTGAAAAGCTCTTTAACGATCTGCTTAAGCCCAACGGGAGGGATCCGCCAAATGGTAGGGATCAGCCAAATGGAAGAGGCTTGCCAAACGGGAGAGACCTGACAAACGGGAAGGATACGCCAGATGGGAGAGCAAATCCAAGCGCTCTTCACAGTAGGACATCCCCAAACGGCGCAGCGAACGGGCAGACCAACCAGGTCAACGTCCAAAGTGACTTGCTAAGCGGCCGAACTGACCTATTAAGCGGACATCCAAACGAGCCAAACGAGCCAAACGAGCCGAACCAGCCAAACCAGCCAAGGGGCCAGATGGACCATCTAACCGGTCAACCAAAACAGCTCACCTCACTCAGTAGCAACTCCCCGAACAAGAACAACGAACAGGAATCGAAACACACGCCGGTCAAAAAGACAACTATCGAAAAAAAAAAAGTTAAACAGTCCTACAATAACTCGGAGAATCTACCCACCGGCGTGTATTTCTATCAAGGCTCATATGTAGCCAATTGGTGGGAAACACAACAAAAGAAGCAATTCAAAGTTCCTTTTAAAATATCGGAGCATGGAATAGCAAGAGCAAAAAATCTAGCAATCATTTCCAGAATTATCAGATCATCCTCTGTGCAACAAGTCAATTTAATTTTATCTCAAATAGAGCAAACAAAAAACATCACAAAGTTGAACTATGCTGCCATTGCTGCTTTAGCTTTTAAATATATAACCCCCCCTCCGAAAGAGGAGTAATCTGATGGGGACTTCTTTTATACCCGAACGTGTGTGGAGCCTTATACTGGTGTATCCACCCTCACACACAAGCTTCTTTATGTATGGTGCAAAGTTCAGACTGACCCCCAGATTAGACCTGGTGCGGCTGCTCCTAAATTGTACATCCATTTGAGCCACGTGACGTCGTTACACGTTAAGGCGGAAGTTTCTACAAATGGACTAATTAAGCCATGCTGGGATTGTGTAATTTTTTTATTTTTCATTTTATTTTTTTTTTTTCTTCCCTTTGCCCTCGGAAGTAACAAATTCGTGCGTTTTTCAATTAAAGGAAGAGCCAAAATAGCGTTATTCTGCACATTTTGAAAAATCCCCACCCCCTCTTTAATGCATTCCATCTACGCTTTTATCGGCCGTTCCATTCGTCACGCTATTCCATGTTTTTGTGTTTTTTCTGTTTGTTCTTTTTTTTTTCCCCCTTTTTAAGTAAAATTTAAAGACCAAGAATTTTTAAACATATGTACCTGTTACACACACGTCAGGTTTATCTCTCTTGAATGTGCCCGATGTGAACACACACGCACTGTTTCCTACGGCTCCACACCTTCGATGCTCCGCGTTTGCAAGTGGACGGAGCTCAGGATTGCCAACTCGTAAGCTCCACATATCGTAGCTGTGTTTTTACACACTATGTTTCTCATTCCAATCATAGTTGCAAATAAGGTGAAGCGAAGTAGATCTACTTGGTACGATGTTGTGCCTCTTTCCTCTCTCTGTGTAGACACAAAAACTTTTGCGAATGTTTAGATAAACTGCTTTAACTATCCATTAGTAATAATACCACCTTGGAGCCAAAGCCGAAATGGCTACTTTGGCTTCCTTTTTTGATCAAAAAAAAAAAAAAAAAGCTAGTAAAATGCGGAAAATTACCTGAACAGGTCATTCAAAATTTTTTTTTTTTTTTTAAGTAAATGCACATTTGTCCCATTTAATGCTCCGCATAGTTACCAAAGTGGATGATACATAGAACATAGAGGAATAAAATTTCTTGTAAATGTGAGATCACTTCCGCGGTGTCCTTAGCTGCCACAGTTGTATTCCCCCCTTTTAGCCGCTCCCCTTTTCTTCTCCGCTCCTCCCACACATTAACCAACCGCGAGCACTGTGGCGGCGTAACTAGCGTAACTAACCCAAGGGCCGACACAGAAACTTCCAATTTGTACATCTTCCCCCTTATCAGACTTGCTCGCCCTCCTTAAATTGACAGTATTAAGAGTGTCCGCCACACAGGTGTGTAACACAGGCAAAGAGAGTCCTGAGTTACACTTCTCCCACCCGTGGCACTCTAACATGGAGGACTTCCTGACAAAGCTGAAGAAAATATCTGAGCAGTACAACAACCTGCTACTGGAAAAAAAGATAATCGACAAGAGGATCGCGAACATCGGAGAGAACATACGCAAGTATGAAGAGACAAGGGAAAAATCCCTCAAGGATGTGGAGCTGAAGAAAAACCAGCTGTTAAAGAACAGAAATAAACACATAATCATGTGCCAGAAAATGGAACAGCTAAACGGAAAGCTGAACGAAATACTCATAAGAAAGCAAAGCATAGATGATGATGAAGAGAAAAAAGTCATAAAAAAACAAATCGACACAGTTAACAACACATATGTTTTGCTGAAGCATGTCCAAAATTTAAATGACGCAATGCTTAAGGACGAGGGCAATCGCTACTATAAATTAATTACAGAAAATATACACAGCAAAAGCTTCAGTAATAAGAAAACGCTTAATATACTCAACAGCTTCCTGCGCAAAACTCGGGTCAACATCCAGGACAAGGGCAGCAACGGGGGCAAATCCTCCGCAAATCCGTGCGCAAATCCCTCCGCGGACTCCTCCGCTGACCCCTCGGCAAATTACTTTAAAGTCATTCAGACAAACGACATTGTCCAAAAACTACTAATCCTTCTTTCGGGAGATCACACCACCCTAACGATCGATAAGCAGCAATTCCTGTTTGTCCTCCTGATGAACATTCTGCGCAAAATCGCCTGCAGCAGCGAAAGAGTCATTCCTCCTGATCAATGCAACTCGAGGAACCACGTGATTTACAATTTTCTGCACAAAAATTATATACTGCACTTGTGACTCATCCGCGCCGAGTAGCGCTCTTCACCCGAATCCACAATCTGTGTGTTCCCCTTGGAATTGCTTCTTCACCTGTAGTCCACACTTTTCTCTCTACAACTTTTTGCACTTGGCGAAACCATGGTGACGTACCAACTCCAAAAATGAGTAAAGTATCAAAAAGGTGAAAACAAAATGGGAACAAAAAAAAAAAAAAAAAAAAAAATTGCCATTTTGTGGTCATACACACCTGCGGTTTGTTAGACCCCTATCCCCACCCTCCTCATTCGTCTCACCCCTAAGGGTCGTCCCCCCTCTAAGCGTCGTCCCCCCTTTTTTTTTTCTTTCACGGACTAGAGATATTTTTCCTGCCTACGTTGCTTACGGTTATAATGAAGCGGGTAAAATTCATCCTTCCTTTCAGCAAATAGATATTTACCTGAACTGTTCAGAACGTACAACGCAAAGTAGGTTCTTCCAAATTTCCTATTCCTTAAACCTATCATATTGTATACCCTCTGGGGCAGCATCTCAATCTCTTTCGGATATTCAATAAAGACAAGACAGTCACGGTGGAAGAGTTCACTGTTAGAAATATTCTGTATCAATTCACTGTACACAATCTGTTCATACGGTGGAGTGAAAAAAGCTAAGTGAAATTTATCGGCGATGTGAAACTTCAAAGGACACTTTAGCAGCTCCATAGCATCTGCTCTTATTATTTGATTGTAGGAATGATTGATATTACAGAGTTTTAAATTTTCGTAAATAGTTTTGCAGCTATTGAGTGACAAGTCGACGAAGGTTACGTTAGGTATGTCTCTCGAAATGCACTCGATGCCCAGGTTTCCACTCCCACTAAATACATCTAGGACGTTCATGCTGGAGTTACTAAATATACCCAAGTGGGACAAAATGCTAAACAGAGATTCTTTCACCTTGCTCATCATTGGCCTTGTGTATGTGTCAGGTGAGTATATCCTTCTATTCTTAAATTTCCCTTCATGGATGCTTAAAATCTTTTTTTTTTTGTAATTTATATTTATAGTTTCGCTGTATGTCTTTACTCTGCAGAATTTGTACTTGGATTTTATTTTGCTGTTGATTTGTCTTCTTATGTTTAGCTTCTCCTCTGGGATTCCATACTCGTCCTTTTTTATTTCTCTTTTGGTTTTTCTTCTCTTCCTCTTCGGAGTAGCCGTTTCGGCTAGGTTGTTGTTGAGGGGTTTCTCTAGCTTGGGGGGGTCTCCTACTTGAGTACCAATAACCCCTCCCGGCTGCTCATACGCTTGGCCCTCTTCCCCTTCGACCGCCCCCACAGCAATGCCATTTCCCCTTCTCATGCGCCATACATGGCGAATGTTGCTTCCTTGCCGGTGGTTTTTCCCCCCCAAGGAGATGCCTCCTATTGCACTGAGAGACCACCGTCTGTCTTCGCCAAACACATTTCTACCTTTGGCGTTCATCTGCCCCTTCCCTAAGTATGCATTCTTCACACACCACGCGTGACCAAATTTTATACTCTCATTTTGGAGAAAATAAAATGTGCCAATGAAGAGGAACTCCAATGCCACAACTGTGAAGGGGCTCATTTGTCACAGAAATAAAACAAAAAAAAAAAAAAAAAAAAAAGTCCCCCCCCTAGCCTCCGTGCTTTTCTCATTCTGAACAAAACGTTGGAGGATCCCATTTCAAAGTGGTCCAAATAGTTTCATTCCATTACCACTCCCCTTCTCATGTGAACGGTGAGGAAAGATTAAATTTCCGGCTGATTGAATGGAGCGCTTCAGCCGTTGCACCTCTCCTTGTACGTCATCACCTCGTACCTTTGCTAAGGGGCATTTTTCCATGTAGAAATCGATTCGCATAAAATGGGTATAGTAATACGTTTAATTAAGCGAAAGGATTGACAAATGGGAGTTGCTAAATGGGCAGTGCGCAGCGGGTTCAGCGCAGTGCTACCAAAATGAGAGGGAAAGATAAAACGGGTTAAACGACGGAGGAGATTGCGCTATCCGCTGAAAAAAAAAATATAAAAAAAGCCACACACTGCAAGACGCTGCGACAAGGCGCGACACTCCCTCTTGTGCTTATTCACACAGATAAACTCACGCCATTTGAAATAAGCAAAAAAGCCAAAATATTAAATCCAAATTGTACGATTCATGTAAGTTCTGCAGATCATGAAAATTCTGCACACAATGTAAGCATGTAAAAAGTGACAAGTACGCAGTGGAGAAAAAATGCCCAATCGAATTATCCCTGTGTGTGCGTGGAGAGGAGTACATACCACCATCCCCCCCGACCCCATAATGCAATGAAGTAGCTGCATAAAAGGAGAACAGAATCAGTGAGCTAATAAAAACAGTTAACACAAAGTGATGGGAAAAAAAAAAAGGCCAATTGGGGATTGGGCAAATGGAGGAGGCTGGGGGGAGGTGTACTTCTGTGCGCAACTACACTGCACTGGGGCAGCCCCAGAGAAAAGCACGATAAGTTGCTCTGCGAAAAGTTAGGGTCCTGTCTCTTCTCCAATTTGGAAGCACGAATCGAACACGTTCTTGCTCAGTCTTGTCCTATTTTCTTCTCAACGGTTCACTTAACTGTCTGTTCAGAAGAAAAGGATGCCTCCCCAGAAAAGAGGCTTCCCATCGCGTGCACCTCAAGAGGGTTATTTCTAAAGGGACATATATTTTGGCATCCTTCTACAAAATGGGACAATTCCCCTTTACACTGTTCCTACTTTCTGTGTGAAGCCAAAGGCGCAAATGACGCGAAGGAAAGAAGGTGGTAAAAATGGGTATCTGCTCGGGACAACATTGGATGGAGGTCGCTTTCCACAGGAGGGTAGCAAAATGCGGGGGGAGTAGCAAAGTGCGGGGGGAGTAGCTTCTCCCTCCTCCCCCCTCCGCAGATGATCTCCTCCATCAGCGAAGACAACACAGTGCATATCAGATAAAAAAAAATCCTCCTCTCTTACATAGCCTCCATGGTGAAGTAGCCAACATTGTACTTTCGAATTCCCCACTCGTATTTGAAGAAGATGTCTCCGATGTCCGTAAACAAGCGTGAGTAGTCTGCAAAAAGTAGGGGGGGTAAAAACGGATTGGTGAAGTATCACGGGGATATAAACATACAACACAGGAGAGTGCCATGTAGAGGATATAACAAACACAACTGAGCAGCCATTTGTAGAGGCAAAAAAAAAAAAGACATTCCCGTAAACCACCTGGTGACCCCTCAAAACGTACAGTATTTATAAGCTGGGATGACGAAGAAGAAGTAAAAATTCATGCCTGGGACCTGCGCAGGGATCTTCGCAACGAGCTTCTTCATCCCGGTAACGTAGTTAAAGGATAGCCGCCAGGAGGGACTGTCCGATGGAGGTTTCAGCTTCTGTCGAGTAATCATCTCATTCAAGGATTCCATTAATATATCGGACAAGTTAGGTATTTTCGAAATTTTTAAAACGCCCTGGGGATCTAAGGTCAAGTCGAACTGCAGTATAGAGTACTTACTATAGAACTGATTATAAACTAAGGTCACTTGAGACATGTATTTTTTGATCGAAAAGGATTTGTCCCCGTACCATTTTTCGAATCTCCTTCGTAACTTAACATAATCGCAGATGCCACTTCTACTGCTTTTGCAGAATTTGTAATACAAATTCCATTTGAATCTTTTTTCGAAGGATTCATCAAAGAAGAAGTAAGCTTTCAGTTCGTACCTACCCAGCACCTCGTCTTCCTTCAATTTGAATGATTTTTCATATCGGCGTTTAAATCGACAAAGCTTTTTCTGAGCTGTTTTTATTAAACTGCTTTCCTTTTTTCTGTTCGCGCTTTTCCTGATACCTTCCACACAAAGGGAGAGCCATAGCAGCAGCGGCAGCAGTATCAGCAACAGGTGCAGGGTTTTCATTTTGGTGGTTTATCCGTTAGAGCAGCGAAAGATACAGTTTATCGCGCCCCCTTTTTTTCCACTTGACAAATGATGGATACGCGAATTGAGTTGTTCCGCTCTACTGAGGCTGTCGTCATTCACGAAAGTGGGCGTCCTTCGTTTGGCTCAGAAAAAATGGCTCAAGACAGGGGAAACGCAGAGCGAGGGGTTTGGGTTGACGGTGAAATTTCCATACCGATCGTTTGGCGGTTTGTCATTTTGTCTCTTCGTTGCTTCATCACTTCACTGCATCTTTCCTTGTCCTGCTAACCCCCCCTCGCCCTACTTCTCAGCGAGTAGCACGCCGCACACTCAGCAGGGTACCCCCCCCCACAAACTCGCTGAGCACTTCCATGCACATAAAGCGGACAAGGCGGAATGGCAAAAATGGGCTTAAAAAAAAAAAAAAACTGCACTTGGAGGGCTTCCAATTGGGCCTTGCCCCCACACATGCTTTCGCTGTAGAATTAGCGTCTCCTAGCAATGGAAAAAAAAAAAAAAAAAAAAAGAAAAAGCATGTTCACCCCTGGGTACACACGTCTGTATGCATATCCGCACACATGTTCACGTGAACGACGCGAAAACGGAAGACAGCAGACCCAGTCTGTAGGTCACCCTCGAGCACAACGCAATCAAAGAGCATGGAAGCGATAAGGAGCGGGGCTTGCCGCACCCCCAAAATAAACATTCCTACCATTGGGAACAGAAATAGGAGTAAAACTGCCTCCACTGAGTGGCGTAGACAGCACGAGCATCTTTTATTTTTTCATGTGTGAAAAATTCTGTTGCATTTTTGCAAAAAAAAAAAAAAATTCCCTTTGAGATGACACAATTGCGTAAAAAAAAGGGGGAAAATAAAAAAGGGAAATATATTACGAAAAATGCCTAACAGAAAAGAAAATATCCCCTTTCTTCTCCCCTTCGTAGAAAGCCCACCTAGCAGCACGTTCCACCGAACTGGCAGATTGGCAGAATGGTAGATTCGGCGAATGGCACCCCCCGCCAATATTCAAATGACGAACGGGCAGTAATGTCCACACCTGCGTCCCTTTCATCCCTCAGGGGACAGCAACCATATCACCCAATAGTCGAAGCGGCATAACAATACATCAGCCGCTGGACAGGGGGAGGACGAACCTCAACGTGTGTAGTATTCATGCATGTCCGTGTGCAGTCCTGGAGTAATCAAGGGGAGGGATTTCCGACTGAGGCTGCTCCTCCAGGGTGTGTACATAAATGCAAAGCGGGTTGAGAACGAACACCTCAACGCCGCAAAGAGGGATAAAAAAAAAAAAAAAAAAAAAAAAAAAAAAAAAAAAAAAAAGGAAGAACACTCGATTGTTAACGCCTTATGGAGCATAGAGAAGTTCCCTTTCGGGGTAGGAAACACCCTCAAATGGTGGACGCCCAAAAGGGTAAGCTGCAGCTTGCACCTCTTCTGTTGCCAATTTTGCGCCATTCACTAATGGGGAGAATGCAACCGGCATACCTACACAGGTGTGCTTCCTCTCCACAAAAAAAATAAAATTATCTCCTTCACATTTTATTCTTTTTAAAAAAAAATACACCTCGTTCGGAACGCAAGAGAAAAAAAAAGGCTAAGAATGTGCAGCATACCCGTTTAGCTACTCTCGCAACCCCCTCCGCATTTCCGCGTCTCCGCATTAACAGGACAAAATGACTCCTGCGCGTTTTAAGAAGTAGATCGAAGGGATGACCAAACGTGGGTAACACTGCCCAAGTATCTCTTTGCAGCCCTCTCTCTTTCACTTCCCCGCCCAGTGATTACTTCATTCGTGTGTCAAAATGACGTTAATTTTTTCATTCGGCGCAGTCAAATGGGAAAAAAAAAAAAACAATAAAATAATTATGCATCACACCTTTTTTAACCGCATTGCGTATGCAGACATTCCGTTTGTCCAACTTTTTCGTAAATTAGCGAAAGTAGCACAATCTATGCGTCTCTTACGTTGTTAAAATTGGCGCGGATTTCATTCCAAAATGGCTATGCCGTTCCGCAGTGTTCTCTTGTTCTTCTGTTCTTTTGTCCTTTTGTTCTTTTTTTTTGTTTTTTTTTTTTCTTTCCCCAAAGAATGGAGGGGTTTAAAAGCGCATACGTCTTCTGCATGGCTGTCCCGAGGGTACGCGCCCCTCCTCATATGCACATGCACTTTTTCAAAACTGCATCCCATTCTTTGCGTCACCAAATGGGGCGCGGCCATTTGACGCCTGGAATGACCACAACAGCATTGCCGAAGCATTGTCCCAGTTTCGCCATCCACTCAGTGCGCGCCGAAAGCGAATTTTTTCTCCTCAAGGGGGAAGTGCAAAATGGCGGGATGCAAAAAGGGGGAATACCAAATGGGGGAATAGGAAAAAGGCGAAAACGCAAAAGTGCACAGGTGCAAAAATGTCGAAGCAGCAATTGCGAAATCAACCAACACTGCTGACCATATTGTTTGTATCTCCCCCCGCTTGGCCTGTGACCCTCATTAATGGTCCCAGCACAGCAGCATAGACTTGGCCGTACAATCTTCCCTTTTTTGCATCCCCGCCTGCGCGTGCGTTTCAATTTAGCGTTAAAGTTGTATGCGGAGGTTAACGGTTAGGTGGACACATGCCTTTTACCACCCAGCTATTGTCAAGCCATTGTATTTTTTTTTTTTTTTTCTCAAGTGGCATGCGGCAGTACATATTATTGTACACATTATAAAACATTGTTCATATGAATGAACGGACGCCTTTATGCATTTGCACATACATGCACCCGCGCTAAGCTCCACCCCTTTTTTTTTGTTTTTTTCCCGTTCGAGTTATTTTTCTTTCCTTTCGCTTTGAATTAGCCCCCATTCCCTGCAACCGGCGAACGCCCCAGCGCGCGATTAGAAGCCGAAAATGGGACGCTGACCGGGAGGGGCGCGCCTGTATGCATGTGCACAGCTGGATCATACATCTGGAGGTACCCATTTGCATCTGTGCACATGCGCGTGTCTCCCCCCTCGGTGCGCCTCTCCCCGTGTTCGTGCCGCGCGCGCAGGCAGTAGAGGACAGCGAGGGGCGCCGAGAAGGACAAGACGTGAAGTGGAAGCACAAAAAGGCAAACGCGACAGATGGGCACAACGGGAGCAGCGAAAAGAGGTCCACGGAGTAGGAACAACCACTCGATAATTGCAACTACGCCAACCGAGTAATTGTCCCATAACTGCCCCATAACTGCCCCATAACTGCCCCATAACTGCCGCTTAATTGCCGCCTATTCGTCGCTTCCCTTCCGCTTAACTGCCCCCACCGAGATGGCGAGGAAACGGGGAGGGGCGCCGTCGTGGATGCGCGCGTTGCTGCTGGCGACGTTATTGACGATCTACCTGTGCAACGCGCTAGTGGCCCTAACGATAAACAAAGAAGACAGCTTCTTTGGTAAGCGTAAAAATGACGACCAAGTGAAGATCTCAACCGTCGTGTTCAATCTGCAAGACGAAAGGATGTACCTCAGTGAAGAATACTTTGAAAATCTTATGCCATTGCAGAATCTTCTAATGCTCTGTTTCAAATCGGACGAAAAAAGTGAAATCCTCAAAGAGGTAGGTATAGATAATGTTAGGACCCTTTTTTATGAAAATTTTAAAAATGAGGTGTATGAAAAAATCCTTCTCCTTTTTAAATTCATAAAAGAGAATTTTTCCGACCTGACCAAAAGGGTAAAAGAAGAAAAAGAAAAAAACTATCTCTCAGAAGAAGACTATCTATCCGATGAGAGATTACTTCACCTATTAGAAGATGTAATAACTAACGAAATAGAAAAAAATGCATTCTATTTTGAGAAACTAATTCAATTTATAACACTACGAAAATGTATTACGATACATACTTCTATGAATCTGGAGGATACAACAAACCCGATCGTCCTCATCATGAAAGTTGACCCACAAAAGAATCAAGTCCACTTCAAAATTACCAATTATCTATCCGAAATGGAAGAACAAGAAATATACGAGACAGTAATAAATGAAGGACAGGAGAAGGAAAAAGTACGCTTGCTAAAAAGTATATTAAACCCAATAAAGACAAATAGCCTAGTCATGAAAATGACGAAAAAGAAACCCTTACCGGTTAGTCACTTTCGAAATTTATGTACTAAACATAATTTCCAAGTCGCATCGGAAAATTGGGTAGAATACTTCTATACCCATAATGAGACCTTATGTCATGTCGAAACATGTGGGTCCGGCGATTGCCTCTTCCTCTCATTACAATATCTATTAGACAAAAATGGAGTAAGAACTAGTAACGTCGTCCCCAGTGTAAACGTCCCGGAGAGCTCCTTCATCCCTTGGTATGTACGAAATGTTAAGCAGACTGGCGATCCCAAATTTAATGTTACTGATTTGAGATATCTAAGCACATTTTATTTTATCAAATTCTTTCCTGGATATAATGAAGAAGACGAAATAGACGAGCATTTCATAAATGGACAATTTGACCTCCTCATCAATCTCGAGTTTACGAATTATTATTTGAAGAAGAATTACCTCTATAAAGTTATGCAGGGAAATAAAAGTAGTGAGAAAAAAAAGTCCGTTATGACGCTCATTTCGAACTATATGAATAAGTACCTCTTTTCTCGTGGACGGCCTCTGCTCGACGGCACCCAGGAGGACGAGGATGCGGACTGTAGCTCGAACACGTGCAAGAAGGGAAACACAGAGGGGGAAGAGGCCGGCGGCACTGCGGATGGTGGGAGCGACGGCCGAAGTGGAAATACGGATGGAAGTGGAAACGCGGATGGAAGTGGAGGCGGAAGCGCAGGCGGAACCGGAAGCGGAAGCAGAGGCCGAAGTGGAACCGGGTTGAGCTTAGACAAACGGGGCGGAGGGCCCATCAGAGGCCGAGAAGGAGACGGAGGCTATGACGATGGCGATGGCGACGTCCCGGGAGGCAACCACAACAGTGACAGAAGCAGAAGGGATGTGGGCCAGGGGAGAAAGAGTGACCACAGACCAGCCGTCAGACGCAGGGGAAGCACTAGCAGCATGACTGACAGCGGCAATTTCAGAAGCTCTGGCGGTAGGTCCACATTCGGCCTAACTGGCAGCAGTGGCAACCTCGCAAGTGGCAACCTCGCAAGTGGCAACCTGAGTAGAGGCGACGTGCAGGAAAAAAGTGCACCTCCCCTAAGTCCTCATGCCAGCGAGCGCTCCTTAAATTCGATCGCCCATCGGTGGCATGAATCCACCAACAGTCGCGCTGACGCCGCTGGGATAGGCTGGTCTGAGTCTGCCAACGCGATGCTCGGAGATGAAGACAAAGTGGTGAAATTGCTGAAGGTGGAAGAGGGAGGTGAGGGAAAAAAATTCACAAAGAACACATACCGGGGAGTGACCTACGCCGCGAAGGACTCCCCAGCTAAGAACACCACGGTGAAGCACAGAACCATTACTCTCTCGTTCAAAAGAGACAATACCAGCAGTGGTGACAGCGGAAGGGTGAAAATTCCCCCCGGAATGAGGAGCCCATCCCTCTCCCATGCATCCAGAGTCACTAAAACGCCGCTGCCGATCCCTGTAGATGCCAGTACGCACAAATATAAAGACAACAGAAGAAACATGGAAATACCCAATACAGAATCAGCGGCATCTATGAAGGATGAATACCAACGTGTAGTCGAGCCATACCCATCAGACAGTGAAAACAGCGAAAAAAGGGAATCCATCGATATTGTGAAGCCCAAAAGGCATTTTTCCAGCCAAGGGATTTTAGCAACCACGTCTGAAAGTCAACCTAAAAGGTCTGTCATGCGATTGACGTTAATTGAAAAAGAAAAAAAAAATCGCTTTCATGATGAAGCTATAACAGAATCGGGAGAATCCACCAACGCGACAGAGGAGAGTCAGATGGGAAGCCAAAAGGACAGCGAAATGGACAGTCAAATAGACAGTCAAATAGACAGTCAAATGGATAGCCAAATGGGTATCCAATTGGGTAGCCAAAAGGACAAAGACAATGACGAACAATATGGTCATAACGCGCTATCCGACCCAAATGCTAACAATGAGATGACCGATTATGATGACATCCTGGAAGAAGTGCATCAGGGGGGGTACCGAATCTACGAGCTCATTTTCTTCAAACTAGTGTCCCTATCAGCGAATAAAATGACCTATGATGAGTTAAAGAAGGTTAAAAGAAGAAACATGCATGAGCTAATCGGTGCAAATCTCAAATCTAAAGTAATCGGCTCTCATGTTTTTATGAAACAAATAACACAAGGTACCATACTTCCATTTTTTAATTACGTAAATATAAAGAACAAATTGAACAATGTCAATCGAAAGGAGAATTATGCTAATCGAGATCTCTACGTTATTATCACGGACACGACCTTCAATAAAAAGATTAAAAGACCAAAGGATGGATTACTCACCAGAAGTCTACTCTTTAAGCATAATGGAGACTGCATATCTTACTGGTCCATCAAGAACAATCATTACCACTTCACTTGCGACAATAAAGTCATTCAGACCAAGACGATTGAGGAAAAGGCATCTGCCTTTTTCTACGAGAGGACAAGGACAGGACACATCCACTGGGGGGATGAGACAGATTATGAAGGTTTCCAGAAAATGTTTAATATAGGATTAATTACTTTTATTAATAACAGTACCAAATTTTTTTTTCCTAAGGATATTTTCACAGATTACCCTGTGTACTTTCTGATCTACTTCTATTCTGGTATTCACTTCGAGCCGGGTATCCACTTCTCGGTGCAGAACGACCGGGAGATCTGGAACTCCGCCTACGAGAGCACTAGGATTCCGCCCTCCTTCCGGCAGGTGGACGCGCAATAGGTATCGCAGTACCGCGGTGCAGCGGCCACCATAGGTTCAAGTTCGAGTTAAAGATCCTTCAATGGGTTCCAGTTAGATCCGCTTTGGTCACTTCGACCCGTTTGGTCACTTCGACCCGTTTGGTCACGTCGACCCGTTTGGTCACGTCGACCCGTTTGGTCACTTCGACTCCTTTGCTGACTTGACCCCTATGCTGATTTCGTCCGCTTCCCTGCGACCCCCTTGCTCCCACCCCCTAACAGGGCGCAGCACTACGGCAGCCAACCATCAGATCATCAACCTCTGTTGTGCAGCTACCGCGTGGCGGAGAATCAAAAAAAAGAAGTTACCGCAAATCGCTTTCATTCGTCTAATTCGTTTTAAATTGTTCCTTTTTTTTTAAACCCGTCGATTGTTTGGTATGTTCGTGTAGTCTTTGTTTTCGTATCTTCATGGTTTCCGGCCACGCGTCGGCGTATGCCGTGTCTTCCCGTATATGTCTTTATCTTCCTGTATCTGTCTTTATGTCCCTATATCTATCTTTATCTTCCTGTATCTGTCTTTATATGTCTATATCTGTCTTTATCTTCCTGTATCTGTCTTTATATGTCTATATCTGTCTTTATCTGCTGTATCTGTCTTTATATGCCTGTATCTTCCTGCGCGCTGGTGGATCCCACGTCCCCTTTTTTGTGTGCCTTCGTCACCCCCCCCAAAAAACTTGTCTCTTTCAATTTGTCAAAAGATTTTTTTTGTAGAATGGGGAGAAATCAAATATGCAGGGAAGCGTGTCAGGCCCCAAGCACGAATGTGCTGATGTGATGACGTACGAATGTAGCGATGTACCGATGCACTGACGTACCGATGCACTGACGTACCGATGCACTGACGTACCGATGCACTGACGTACCAATGTTCGCATCGCCCCTCTCTGCGGCCGCCCCTATCCTACACCGCCGCGCCGCCTCCCCGCGGTGAAGAAAAAATAACTCGACTGCGGCTCCATGTAGAGAGAGCATATTTTAACTCCCTCCTGCGTAACCAAACCCGCAATGACCATCTTCGCACACACGCTACCACCCCCCATGTCGCAGACCAATCGGTGGAATGTGTTCTCCACTTTCCGCACCGTGTTGAAGAAAACGTCTGTGTGTGAATCTACATAGGAGGGTAAAAAATGCATCCCCTTCGCATCGTCGTACCCATCCATGTGTGTATCTCTCTCATCATGTGGCGCGTATAACTCAACACGCTTATTTGATTCCTTTTTAATGTCCCCATTCGGGGCTCTTTCACCAAAATGTAGGAGGTTCTTGTGTCTGCCGCACAGGAGGAAACTTCCCCTCGTCTTCTGTTTTAAATAATGAGAGTAAAATGGAAGGGGGGTTGTTCCTTCCCGTCCGCACACGGTCAGGTAACCTTCTCGAATGGGCTTCAATCCCAAACCGTAGAGAAAGGCAAATTCGAGGAAGTGCTCCCCCAGGCAGTTGTCCCTGAGGTAGTTGCTCTGCTTGCTGTCGTCCCGCTTGATATTGTCCTCCTTGCTGCTTCCCCCCTTGCTGCTACCCCCCCCGCTGCTGCCCCACGTACCACTCCGATGCTCCACCCTTCGAATGAAAAGAAAGTTCCAGAAAAAATACACAAAGTGGGACAGAGAAAATGGTTTCCTAAATCTATATTTTCGTTTCTTCCTCTCGATAAGTCTCTCGATTTGTTTTTCGTCCTTCACTTTTCTGTTTAGCAAAATTTTCTCCAGACAATTGGTGATCCCACCATCATCAAGGTGCTCATTTTTCATCTCCAGCAGGAGGGGTAACTCCTTTCGATATTTTATAAAGCTCTTTAAAACGACTAGGAATATAAATATGTGGTTGTGCGTGGACCCGTCCGTTCGGTTTCGAAGAAGGGCCTCCTTAATCCTGTGAGTGACGTTCCTTGGGTTGAGCATCGTGCACGATGTTCCGTCCGGGGGGGGGAAGCGGGGGGCACCTTTTAACTTTAGTTTTTCAGTCACGAAGGTTAAAAAGGGGCGATCACAATCGTTTCGGTTGTCACACTCACAGTAGCTGTGACGGCATATATGGCTGCTACTGTCCCAATGGCTTCCGCTGCAGCGTCTTCTGCTTCCGCGTTTTTCGCTGCCGCCTTCTCCACCTGCGCCTTCTCCACTGCCGCCTTCTCCACTGCCGCCTTCTCCACTGCCGCCTTCTCCACTGCCGCCTTCTCCACTGCCGCCCCCCCTTGCGCGAAAGTCCTGGTAGCACTTGGCCAAAAACACAATTTTGTCCCTCCACCCGCGCCCCCGAAGGTCACTGTAATGCACGCCACGTACGTATTCCTTCAGCTCATCATACAGAGACAGGGACAAGTGAGTATAAACCCCCCACTCGGATTTTTCTCTGCTTTTTTTTCCACAGGTCTGCATATATAGGTGCCCTCCCACACTAGCATGTACATAACCTAAGTACCCAGCCGCATGGCACGTTATAATTATTCTGCATTTCCTTCTACACATTCTTTCAACAGACAAATTGTTCTTTACAGACAAGTCACAGATAATCACATCGTATGTGTCCCCATTAGAATCCACCTCGTTCATGTATTTTAGTGGGTCTTTCACTAGGCATGTAATATTTGCTATCTGATTCATTTTCATCAAATTTTCTTTGACCACTTTGCATCTATACTCATTTATTATTTCATACCCTTTGGAGAAAATGTAATATTTTACGTCCTCTGTGGTTACACATGCATTGTCTACAATGGTGATATTCCTTATGCCGCTCAGCATCAACCCCTTTGCGACTTCCATGATGGTGAGGCTGCTCCCGAGTAGGCACACAGAGCTGCTCATCAGGATCTCCTGGTGCGTCGTTCCCCACAGGGAAATCTGTCTTCTGAATTGTTCGCCCTGCTCCATCTGGGGCGGGGGCAGTAGAGCGGTGCTGCGTTCTGCGGAGCTACGTTTTGCGGTGTTACATTTTGCGGAGCTACGTTTTGCGGTGTTACATTTTGCGTTGCTACGTTCGGCGGCACTCCACTTGCGACGCTTATATGGCCGTTTCGCCCACTATGCTTCCTCCCCAATTTGACGAACCTGCTACACTCCCTGCCGCACATAAAAAAATTCAGCTCTACTCTACTGTGCTGTAGGGTTTTTTTTTTTTCTTCTTCTTCCCTTTCCACCTCTTAGGGGGGAGTTCATTGGCCTTCTATTCATTTTCCCCCTTCACGTTACCCATGCGGGGAGGTAACGGCGAGCGATGTGGCACCCTACATAAGTACGCGCAAATGTGCATGTTGAAGAGGAAGGTGTGCCGCATGGACGCGGTAAAAAAAGAAGAAAAATGACAACGTCGCCTTTGCAAATTGTTCGTATGTGGCTTTAAAAGAGGGAAACCTGGTGATGCCTGTTTCTCCTTCTTTTTTTTTCCTCCCCAACGAGGTGCCCCTCCTTTCTACATTTTTTTATCACTCTGATTAAAAAATAAAGTTACCCGGAGGATGTTCTCACATCGGGAGGGGAGAAAACAAAAAATTGTCAGGTGGTACAAAAAAAAGGGAAAAAAAAAAAAAAAAAAAAAAAGAAAATATGCCTATATCCTTATGATGTAAAGAATAACGCGTCACAAGTGGGAAAATGTAAACATGAGTGGGATTAATGGGCCTATGGGTGGACGGATCCCACTTACCTTGCTGCCACGCACTTAAAACCCCATTAATTAAAACAACTTGGACGAAGTCTTCTCCTTCTTCATCCTTTTTTTCCTTCGATTTACGTCCTGCATATCGATGTAATTCCCCGTCTGCGTCTTCACGCCCATAATTCTCTCTCGCTCTCTTCTCTGCTGAATGTACCTCTTCATGGACTTCTTTCGAAACATGAGCTCTGGATAATGAACCTTGGGGCTCTTATCGAATTTACCTCCTAGCATTTTTACTTGATGATTTTCCACAATTTTTTTTTGAAATTTATCCAAGTGGGGTAGAGTCAACTTTCTAATTTCGTGAACCACATTCATGAAATCTTTTTTGGCTTCCATTTTTTCTTTAAAAATATTTTTTCTATTTTGTCTGGTGTCACGATCAGGGGTGTGCTTCTTGGTTTTTTCTTTTGCTGCCTCATATGATGGATTTTCCCATCCATTGAGCTTCCCGTTGTTCACTGCATTTGCCTCTGTCTCTTTCGCAAGGGGGTTTCTCCGTTTGGGAGCCTCTTCTTCGTCCTCTCTATGATTTGTCCCCTTTGAAGCTTTCTGTCTATCCTCCTCTTCTTTCTTCTGTTTATCATTCCTGGGGTAAAAGTTGTCCTTCTCATTTTGGGTAGTTAGGTCTCCATTTGGGTGATTTCTTCTCTTTTTCGCTTTTCCTTTCTTCCCTACGTTTTCGTTCCCCGTCGTTTGGGTGCCTTCCCCATCGCTATAATTTCCACTGGAGGTTCCACCATTGGGACTTTCACAGATGGGATTGGCACCCCTACCAACACAAGCGTCCTGATGATTCATCTGATGAGGCAGCATTCGAGGGTGGAAGTGTCTCACCCTTTTTCCTCCCCATTCATGATTCGCCTCACCTTCCGATTCCTCCGAAGGATTCACCACCCCCTTATCACGTGTTCCAATCTGCTCCCCTCCGATATCCTCCTTTTCATTGCCGGAATTGGGGGCGAACCCCCACAGTTCGTCCATATACCTCTGCAAATCATTTTCGTCTTTTCCCCCTTGGGCTTTTTTCCCCGGTATGCTCTGCTCCCCCTTCTTCATTTCTGCTCCTCAATTGAGTAGAGAGTATGCCTTTAGAGGAGCTTCAAATTGTTAACTTCTTTTTTTTTTTGGGGGGCAGCATGGTACGGCCATAAATATGCCGTTACTGGGGCGCCGTTCGTTTGTGCGTTTCTTCGCTTCCTAGCTTTTTTCCTTTGCCACCACCTTTTGGAGGGTTCATTCCGCTTGCATTCTGGGAAAATTGGCAGGTTCGCAATTGTTGGCAATTTTTAAAAAGATAGTTTCTTTTTTCTTCTTTTTGCTTTTTTTTTCTTTCTGCTTTTTTTTTTTTTTCTGGGGAGACGTGTAAGGATAATAGGGCGCCCCAAATGACAGTGTCGAGAAGGCCGCGCGAGAGAAGAAACGCCAACGCAGTTGTGCGGCAAACCGCGTAATCACGTCCTGACCCACTTAGCACTGGCGCGATTCTTCAACTTTTCCATCACGCAATTATGTGGTTTCCCGCTACTTACCTGCTTCGAATTTTCTCAACTACGTAATCGCCAACCAGCTGACCGCGCAAAAGGCAGATAAAATTCCTCAGCGCAGAATTCCAAAGTTGCAAAGGATTCCATTCCCACTTTGCTCATTTCCCACTCGATAGACCCCACGACAAACGCAGAAAAATACCCCAAAAATACGCAAAAAGTACACAGAAAATAACGCAGAAAAATACGCAAAAAGTACACAGAAAATAACGCAGAAAAATACGCAAGCAGAATTTTTTACATAGGAACAACTACTTGCAGCCTTCCTTGCCGTCCCAGACTTTTCCCTACTGGGAAAAAACGCTGTGTCATCGCGCAAGTGCATGAGGTAAGCCCATAGGTGTGTAGATACAGGAATAAGGCCTTTCCCCACGGATAGGCATCACTGGCTAGGAAGAGGTTGTCCCTACCTCCTTGCGCATTGTTCATTTTTTTCTCATTTCGGAAGAACCCCCACCCCCTAACGATACAAAATCTCTGTGGAACAAAATGGCGGTGACGAATAAGAAGTTGCAAAAAATTATGACCCAGCCTATAGTAAAAAAAGAAAAAAAAAAAAGGAAAGGAAAAGAAAAAGCCCAGCGGTCGCACAAAGCGGTGTCGCAAAGAGCACTGCTGTTACGTGTCATCCGTACCACTCCATTTGTTCCCCCTTGTGCTCCTCCTTTTATCTCCCTGTACCCCCTTTCGCAGAACCAAATTTTCAGATTTTTCACGAACAAAACGGTGGTCCAAATTTGGCTCTATGATAAACCAGACACCCGCATTGAGGGAAAAATTCTGGTAATTAAGGCGTTTGCGCCGCGACACCAGGAGCGGATGGCCATACGTACGTGAATGCTCATATGGACGTAACGTTTATGTACCTATATGCACACCTTCGTCACACGTTCGTCGCACTCAGACACACTTCCTACCGTCCGCGCTTCACCACTTTACAGGGCTTCGATGAATACATGAACATGGTGCTAGACGAGTCAGCAGAAGTTTCAGTTAAGAAGAACACGAGAAAGGACTTGGGCAAGATTCTTCTCAAGGGGGACACTATCACGCTAATAATGGAAGCGTAAGAAATAGAGCGAGAAATGGGAACAATGTTTATTGCATATGTTCGAAGTGTCTATTTGGAACGCCTGTTGCTGTGACAGTTTCCCCCCTTTACACATGCCCTTTTTTTTTGTCCTTATGATTAAAATATTACCTATTTGACCCCTCCTGAATTTAATTTTTTTTTTTTTTTCTTTCTGTATTTCCTCTTTTATAGGAAAAAGGTGGAAGAAGAGTAGGTGGTTCGAATTTTTCACTCTCCAGCGATTCCACATTCCAGCCTCACCTTGTGACCAAACCTTTTGAAGGATTTGTTAACTAGTCCTTTACGACTCTGCTCCCCAAGGGGGGCTTTATATGGGTACGAATATTTGTGGTGCGAATAAAGCATTCGCCCCTTCCGTTTGTCGCATTTGATTTAAAAAAAAAACACCCCCATTTTTACGTCTCTTTTATTTTTATTTTATTATTATTTTTCCCCCCTTTTTTGAATGATTAAAATCTGACCAATGTATAATCACATCACCACATAACATTGTGTCATTAAAACGCTTCATTGTAAAGCTCCACCAAAACAACCCCTCTCTGACGAATTTCGTATTTCCCCATTTGCTTAACACTGCTGCGGGTAATTAAAAGGCATTAGCTTCAGGTCCAACTGGAGAAGAGACGCCAGTTGGTGCCTTTCGTGTCAGTGGAGATTCGTTTGGTAAGTGCGACCATCTATCCGTACATACGTATGTGCTTCCTCCATCCCTGGGTGCTTCTTTTTGGGGCGAATATGATGGCGACCATTTTTTAACCAATCAAAAGGGGATGATAAAAAGGGATGGGGGAATTCACCACAGCTCTGCAACGTGTCTTTCGTAAGAAGACATTTCACTACAGCAACATGTCAGCAGAATAAATTGAGGTCATTTTCATTTTTTTTCTTTTTATCCCTCATGGTCAAAAATGTAAATACTATACATGCATAGAACTTCCACGTATGCATGCGCATACCGTTTGGTTCCCTCCAGTTGTGCATTATGTTCTGCCCACGATAGAAGCTACCATCACGCAGGGGGAGTGGAGGAGCCCATCCTTTTCTCCTTCCCACTGTAAGTACCTCCAAGCAAAATATGGCACATTTAGCTGTTTTGCCAAAAAGTAAAAAATCACCTTGCAGTGAGCCGAGATCACGCCACTGCACTCCAGTCTGGATGACAGAGTGAGACCCTGTCTAAAAAAAAAAAAAAAAAAAGAGAGAAAAATTTTACCAATCACCAATTAGTTGATACCCATCTGGTGATCCCCACCTGGCAATGAAAAAACCTCAACCGCGGGGCGGCGAACGGGGCCAGGGAAAAGCGGAGCCTACACTGAGACCATTAATTAACGCATGCAAAAGAAAAGTGCTACTGAATCCACTAAACAAAGCTAAACAGAAAAAAAAAAAAAAAGGGGAAAATTGCACCAAGTTTATATCGGCAAAATAGAACTCGCGGCAGAAATTAAAATGTCGTTCGTTCAAAAGCGCCAAAGTAAAAACCATAGCGACATGCTCCCCCTGGGTAGAAGAAACCCGCTCGAGCACAATCACAAATTCAACGAAGCATATCTTTACATCTTCACACATGTTCAGCGATCTACTCCCCATCCTGAGATACCCTAAAAATTTCGGCAGCCACTTTTACAAACAACATTCCTGCTCATCAGCAATTCTGAACAAGAATAAAAATATCATTTGCCCAGTTAACTGTAAACAGTCCTTCACCAAAATGAGCGAGAAAAAGGAGCATGTGATGGAGGGCGAAAGGAAAGTCGCCAGCAACCAGCAGGCCAAGTAAGCTAACCACACTTCGAGGGAGATGCGATTGGGGGGGGCCACCCCCTCCCCTACGCCTTACCCCTTTTGTGCCTTCGCCGTATGTGTGGGTGATAGGTGGCATATGCGCGTGCATAGAGTAGAGCGCCAAAAAGAGCATCCCCAAGCGGACACATCCCTGCCGCGTTGCGGTTTGCCATGTTGCCATGTTGCCCCGTTACCGCTCCGCCCCGTTACCGCTTCACTACTTCACCGCCGCACCACAGGGACAAGAAAAAGGAAGAGGAGGCGGAGGTCGACCCACGGCTGTACTACGAGAACAGGTCCAAGTTCATCCTGGAGCAGAAGGCCAAGGGAATCAACCCCTACCCACACAAATTTGAGAGGACGATAACCCTGCCAGAATTTGTGGAAAAGTACCAACACCTGGCGAGCGGAGAACACCTGGAAGATACCCCTCTAAATGTGACAGGAAGAATAATGAGGGTGTCCGCCTCAGGACAGAAGCTGCGCTTTTTCGACTTGGTTGGCGATGGAGCCAAAATACAAGTGCTAGCCAACTTTGCATTCCATGACCATACCAAGTCAAATTTCGCAGAATCGTACGACAAGATAAGGCGAGGAGATATCGTAGGAATCGTGGGATTCCCGGGAAAAAGCAAAAAGGGAGAGTTAAGTATATTCCCAAAAGAAACCATAATCCTCTCTGCCTGTCTCCACATGCTGCCAATGAAGTATGGATTAAAGGACATAGAAATTAGGTGCCGACAGAGGTATCTAGATTTAATGATAAACGAATCCACCAGAAGTACCTTCATTACCAGAACAAGGATTATTAACTATCTTAGAAATTTTCTCAACGATAGAGGATTCATAGAAGTAGAAACTCCAACCATGAATTTAGTAGCAGGAGGTGCAAATGCCAAGCCATTTATTACCCACCATAATGACTTAAACTTGGATCTGTTCCTCCGCATCGCCACAGAGTTACCTCTAAAAATGCTAATCGTAGGAGGCATAGACAAGGTGTACGAAATAGGAAAGGTATTCCGAAATGAAGGCATCGATAATACCCATAACCCTGAATTTACCTCATGTGAATTCTACTGGGCTTATGCAGATTTTTACGATCTCATAAAATGGTCTGAAGATTTTTTCTCCACTCTAGTTATGCACTTATTTGGGACATACAAAATTTTGTATAATAAAGATGGGCCAGACAAAGATCCCGTAGAAATAGATTTCACCCCTCCATATCCTAAAGTTTCCATCGTCGAAGAGTTAGAAAAATTAACTAACACAAAATTAGAACAACCATTTGATTCTCCAGAAACGATAAACAAAATGATTCACTTGATTAAAGAAAACAAAATCGAAATGCCAAACCCTCCAACTGCTGCAAAACTGCTGGATCAGCTAGCTTCCCATTTTATAGAAAATAAATATCCTGATAGACCATTTTTCATTATTGAGCACCCACAAATTATGAGTCCCTTAGCCAAATATCATAGATCCAAACCGGGATTAACTGAACGGCTCGAAATGTTTATCTGTGGGAAGGAAGTCCTAAATGCCTACACCGAATTGAATGACCCTTTTATACAGAGGGAATGCTTTTCAGCGCAACTAAAGGATAGGGAAAAGGGAGATGCAGAGGCCTTTCAGTTTGATGCTGCATTTTGTACTTCCCTGGAATATGGACTTCCCCCCACCGGTGGCCTTGGCCTGGGTATCGACCGAATCACTATGTTCCTAACGAATAAGAATTGTATCAAGGATGTGATCCTCTTCCCAACCATGCGCCCCGCGAGTTAATTTGGCCTTCGCGCGACGTCCTCTCGTGGACATTATTTTCCTTCCCCTCTTCGCGTTGCTTTTTTTTTTTTTTTTTTTTTTTCCAATCACCTCCCTGCGCATTCTGTACGTACACATTGGCACGTTTGTCTACGCTTCTCACTCATCACCCCCCAATTTGTAACCACCCCCTAGCTCAAATGCACGTATACCATCTGCCACACAGTACGTACCATTCTCCGTGCGGCGCTGCTGCCCCGCGCGCATATTTCGCCCCGACGTCCAGAAGTTAAACTCTTCAAAAAGGACGAACTTGTAATTATAATACTATGGTTGTATGTACAAAGCGAAGAACTGCTGGGCGCCTCGTTTGTATTTCTTTACCTGGCGGAGTGCCGCTGGAACCGTTATGTGAACCGCAGCTGTAGGACTTACCTCATTTGTTCCTTGCCCATTTTCTGCCGTCCCCCCAGAGCACTGATATTTGCCATTCCAGCGCTCGCGCCTTTCCGGCAAAGGCTGTTACGCACGTAGCTGCTCTGTCCACCTTTCAACTCAACGGGGTCAAACGGTTAACCGTAACTACCATTTGATACCTAGCGCTGTGTCTTACCGCTGTGTCTTACCGCCGCGTTTTAACGCCGCCTTCTAACGCCCCCTCTCCCCAATGACGGACAAGGACGCGACCTCCTGCGACGTGGTGCACTTCCTGAAAAACTTCGAAGACTTAGAAAAATCCTACGAACATCTCCTCAACCGGAAAAAACAAAACGAGCTGAGACTCACTGAGGCGCTCAGGAGTCTTGACGAAATGAAGCAGCAGTACGAACAGGAAAAAAAAAGTACAACAACTTTTTTTTAAGAGGAAAAAAAAAAAAAAAAAAAAAAAACCGAACAAATCACATGACCCGTTTAGGCAAAAATGTGTGCACATTCTTCGCTTTCTCGAAATAGCTTGCTCATCATTTTTGCTAACCTTTCCAGAGAATTTCGAAATGTCAATTGCTATAGGGGAGCACACAGATAAGCTAATAAAAAAGCACAGTTACGCGGAAAGGTCCGTCCCAAGGACTGTTTCTCCACCTTTCCTAATTTTTCTGATCGCTCAAAGTTGTGAGAAAAGAAGCGTCTGTTTTTACATTCCTGTGTGTACACCAAGCATGCGAAGCAGCTATAGGTACATTTCTTCCCCCTCTCCTACACAAATTCCTCCCCGGACTGAAACCAAAACAGCTACGACTTCGTGAAAAGGCAGAACGATGATTTTAAAGAAAAAATCGAATCTCTGCGGAGGGAAAAGGAGCAGGGTATGCGCGAGGAGGCGACACCAATAGCACATCCCTGCATAGGGGAGAGGTGTGCCCCAAAGGCATTCGACTACGTATTAGCGTCATTCCAACCATACCCCCGCTACATCCTCTCCACACACTGGATCAATTCCAATTGCGCTGCCGATTCATCCCCGTTCAGACAAGCTGCTCATGGAGGAGAGAACAAAAGCGCTGGAGATGATGAAACAGAGAGAAGTGGAAGAATACGATAGCAAGCTGGTCAAAAAAAAAAAAAAAATGACAACATAAAAACGTTTAACAAGATGCTACACAAATGAAAAATATAAAATGGTTTACACAAAATGTCTTCCCCTCTTCTGGGCTTACAGCTACATATGCATTTCTTTTCCATGCAGAGAGAGAACAAAAATAAATTGCTCCAACTAGAGAGTCAAATAGTAGAGCTTGACTTGGACATCGTATCAAAGGAGTAAGAAGAAGAGTCTTGCATATCTTAAAGATTCAGATGGTGTCGCAGAGAAATAACATTTGCAATTACATGTGCACAGTACACTAAGAAATAATTCACTTGCTCTTCCTTTCCCCACGCTACCTGCAAACTACAGCGAGGAGATAAACAAACTCTCCTCACTATTAAAAGAAATTAAAAAAGAACACGAAACGGAGAAGCTGGAGTACGAGCTGAAGATAAAAGACTTGATTAAAGAAAAAGATGAAATCAATAGGAAAAATAAGGTACAATAGTTAGTCCCTTCTATGACTTTTCCTTTTTTTTGTTCTGCCTCTTTGTCATCTGAGCGGGTCGTTACATTTTGTGACCGTTTGAGCGTCTCTCGGAGGTGTGTACACCTACGCCTGCCCTATCGATCCAGCAAGCTGTCCAAACAACGTCCCCTTTTAGGAGGCCATGCGGGACATAATAAATGACACTGGGAGTCACGCCTTGAAAAATTTAAAAAACAAGCTCCACATACTCCAGCAGGTTACCCAAAAAAGGGACTTCCTAAGCGAATTATACATACATGCATGCATCGATCAATCCATCCATAGGTACATCTCCCTCTCACACATGCTATTCATCCTCCCCCGTAATGTACATCCCCACTTGTGCAGAAATACAACAAGATGGAAAAGGAAAATTCCAATTTGAAAAGGACCATAAACAAAGCCGAGAAAAAAAAAAGCAGCAGTGCACAAGACCGCAAAAAAACTGGATGTATCAAAAGCTTATATAAAATATAAAAGGGTTATTTCAGAAAGGGGACGGCAAAATGTCTCTGCTACTTTTTTTTTTTTTTTTTCCGCAATTTTAACTGTGTGCAAAATAGAGGTGATGTTAACCTAGTCATCCCGCCAGAGAGGTAAAACGAATGATGTGGGCCCAAGAGGGGGTAAGGAAGCCATGCAACTTCACATTTAACAGTCCCACACATCGTTACATTTTGGCATATGATCTGTAAGGGAGAGCGTCCTGGTGGGGAGATTAATTTTTTTTTTGAGAGTTCCACCTCCGTAGCGTTTACTTAATAGCTAAGGGGGAGGAAAACAATGCCAATCGTTCCAAACCCTATCGACGTATTGAGAAAGCATCTGCCGAACAAAGTTGACCTCTCTATGAAGCGTTGGCGCGCGAGAGGAGGCAAAACTACGGGACGCTGCTCATGTGAGGAAGGGCACTCCCACAAGCAGTAGTTCCCAGCAAATGAGTACTCCATTTTGGCGCTATTTCGAAAAGCTAACAAGGGAAGGTCAAGGAGAAGAGCAAAAGTCAGTCAAAGTGATACCACCTTAACGTACACCCCGCTAAGGTAAAAAAAAGTCACGCTCCGGATGTTCCTCACGCATTGCTCGCCTAATTTTGTTTTTTTCCCCCACCCTCCAATGTAATCCCACAAACGGTACAACCCGCACAATCGGCACAATCGGCACAACCGGCACAATAGGCACAACCCGCACAACACAGCAATAATGACATTGAAATTTCTGCTTTTACTTTTTCTTCACCGTTTTGCGGGCAAATGCTTTTCCATGAAGAGACCACTCACGAGTAGCCCTCGAAATTCACCTGTCCTACTCCACAGCGCAAATTCGAAGGCCCTCCAAAACGGCAGCAACTACTTTTTCTGCGCTGCCAAAAGAAAACACCCCGCAGGTAGTAACAAATTCAGTTTGCGCGAAAAAAAAGAAGATGAAAATAGCGAACCGTCCAGAAATAATTCCCCCAATTCAAACATATTTCGAAACAAATACAACTACGTTCCTTCACTACAAGAAGTCAAAGCGGACATAGACAATTTCAAAAGAGAAAAATCTTTTTACTTCACGGAACACAGTATACTCGAAGCCATCAGTGTAGAAAATAACATCGTCGTTGTCAATATTGAGGGCATGTTTTTCGAAGATATTAACGTAGTATTCGCAGAAGTAACCAAGTATCTGCTCAATAAGCATTTGGGCATTTTGGGCGTACACCCCTACAACATCAAGTCGCTCAACATAGGAAAAGGGGAAACTTAAATCGAGCACCTCACAGGCCAGCTGGCGTTGCATACCCTGTACCTTTTCGTAGCAGAGGGCTATTCGTTCTCCTGCAAAAAATTGTTGGCTATATTCTTCAAAAGCGGTGGCTTCCCTGCGCAGTTTTTTTCAGACATTTTGTTTTTCCAAATGAAGAGATTACCTTGTTTGCATTTTGTTTGGGAAAGCGATCTGGCTGTTCATATTTTTTTTTTGAAATCTGTTTAGCTGTCTAGCTGTTTAGCTTTTTTTTTTTTTTTTT